GGAGCGGGGCTGGGTGGGACAGGGTCTAGGGATTAGGAAAGTGACTGGGGGCGAGGCCAGAGTAGGAAAGCCGGAGAGAGGCGCCAGGTCCGGGAGGATGGGGACGGTGCCCTGAGGAAGGGCAGGGCCAAGGATTCCAGCGAGTGGCTCGGGACCGGGAAGGGCGAGATACCGGGAAAGGAACGGGTTCAGTAGGCGCGGTGGTCAGGAAAGCCGGGGGGTGAGGGGCTGGGAAAGAGGCGGGGTGGGGACTGGGGTCCGGTTCTGGGATGGGAGTCAAGGGCGACCAGAAAAATGAGGGGACACGGGAGAACGACGGGTGGAGAGGCCCCTAGGGAAGGAGAAAGGTCTAAATCAGAGGCTCAGGGGAGGCGGGGGAGGGCTTTGGAGGTAGCCGGGAAATGTAGGGGAAAGCAATCGAGGAGCGGTGGTGAGGCTTGAGGTGGGATCTCAGGTCTGAGGGGAGCCCCTACCAGAGCTGGGAAGTACAGGAGATAAGTGTGGGGACAAGAGATGGGTGGGCCAGGGGCCCTAGGGGAGAAAGAAATATGGGAGTGTCAAAGGGGGGGGGTGGGACTGGGCTGGAGGAAGGGGCAGAGATGGAGGGTGTGCCCGAGATAGAGCCAGGAGGAAGACTGAGGCCCTGGGTCCTGCCCCCTAACCCTCTGGCACACTAGATCTACAAGGCCGGTTGCTGAACTAGTGTGCCCCAGATCCTTTCCGCTTGCTGAAATCTAGGTCCCAGGCCTCAGCCCACACCTGCTGAGGCAGAATCTTTGAAGATTCTGGGAAATGGTGTTTGTCACAAGCACCCTGGGAGGATGAGTTTAGACCCGTATTTGGGAATCACTGGTCTGGATCACCCTCTGTTCCAAACACGCAAAGGTTCTCTGCTCAGCTCCCTGATTCTAGGGAGAGGACCCTTCCCACGTGGATGGAGAGCGAGCGCCCATAATACCTTCTAGCACCTCAATCCCAACATTTGGTAAATTCCTCCTGTAATCTACCCTAATCTCCCAGATATGCTAATTTGGCCTCTTTCCTGCTAAGAGAAACAGAAAGAGCAGGGGCTGGCCCATCCCAACCCTCCGTGGCCAGAAAGACAAACTGACCATATGGAAAGGCCGTGGAGAAGGCGACCCCAGGCCCATCCCAGAGCCTCCCCCTACCCCTCACACACACACACATACTGGTCAGCACAGGGCTCCGGTGGCAGCAGCTTATCTTCATCTTCTTTGTTAAACAGAGATGACATTGTCAGCCAACCTTTCACTCCGACCCCCTGAACCTGGGAGGGAGGGCCTGGGAGTCATTGAGGGGCCACAGCACCACCCACCCCAGGACTCCACAGCAGCCTCTTGCAGGCTCCCCAGGGCGGGTTGGAAGGAGGGAGAACTCACCCGGCGGGCCAGCTGTGACATGGGGTTGAAGGCCTCTGAGGTCGGTTCTGCTGTCTCAGACTCCACTAAAGCTGGGTTCTCCCTCTGAGACACAAGACCCCCCACGCAGCATGAGAGAGGCCCCAAAGGCATAGGAACTCCCTCCCCCACTGCTAGCCTGGTACACACAGACCAGGCACCCCAAATTCCACAGAAGTAAACATACACCTAGTCTTCTCACACCCTTCCCAGATGCATAAAAGTATTCCCCTAAGGCCATGGTCGGCAAACTATGGCTTGCGAGCCACATGCGGCTCTTTGGTCCCTTGAGTGTGGCTCTTCCACAAAATACCATGTGCGGGCGTGCATGTACAGTTCGATTGAAACTTTGTGGCCCATGCGCAGAAGTCAGTATTTTGTGGAAGAGCCACACTTAAGGGGCCAAAGAGTCGCATGTGGCTTGCGAGCCGCAGTTTGCAGATCACTGCTCTAAACAAAGCTACCAGTCACATACATTACCTGTATAGAAAAATTCCTCCACAAACACATATGTGCCCACCTACAGACACGTCCATATATACCCCAAAAACATGTGGACATGGGCATGCACACTGATGTAGACACACCTGTGCGGGAGCATGCCTCCACATGGCTATAGCTCTTCCCCTCTACGCGGCTATGTGCACTGTGAGGCACTTACACAAGGGCACATACACAATTATACCATTCACATTTGTGCACCTATACAACTGCAGACAGCTGCACCGAGGCCCACCCACAGCACACAAACCTTTCCACCCATCCCCAGACACCAAGATACAGATGTACACACAAACACACACAACACACAAACAGAACACCTGCCAAACCTGCACAGAGCTAGGCAGGCATAGACTTCTGCCCAAATGTACACACCTGAAAATACCTATACCTAGCTCACACCTGCACATACGCCTTCCCTGGGGATACCACACAGACACCAATCCTAACACTGACCCACAAATACTTCTACACATGCCCAGCCCTGTCTAGACATTCACTAATTCACATACACACATACCACAGACCGTGTTCCTGTCCCTCCACGTCTATTTGTGCAATTGCCACTTATCACAGCCGCTAGATGTAGGACTGTTGCAGAGCCTGTTCAGTTTTGTTTGTTTTTAACGTCAGGGTAAACATGGTCCAAGTGTGGCTCTGACCTGATGCTGTCAGTGACCCTCAGAATAAAAGTGTCACTGTTCCTACCTCCGGTACCAGGAGGCTCCACTTCTGTTCCGCTCTGCCCAGTAGTAAGCTGAGTGTACCTGTGTGGCCACTGCACACTGGACCTAGAAGGATCTTCTCCTGGTGGCAATCCTGGAGATCCATGGATATAGTGACCGCTCCCCCAAGGTCCCCCAAGTCTTTTCTTCTTGAACCTCCTGTCTTTCTGACCCTGTGCCAAGCCATTTTCATCCTTCAGTGGGCTGATGACTTCTGCACAAATGTACCCCACCCTCTCATTCTCTCTAGCCTGCCCCTTGCCCTTCTCTGTACCTTCCACTCCTGCTTCCCCTCTGCCCCTGCCCCACCCAGCAAGCATGGATGGTACTCACCTCCTCTGCCAGAACCTCCTCAGATTCCCCACTCAGGGTCTGTAGCACCTTGGATTTGTAGGTTTTCCAGAAGGCCTGGCTCATAGCTGCAGGGGAAACGGGCCTGGTGCCCAGGTGCAGGAGGCAGTGGCTCAGAGGGCATCCAGTGGGTCTGGCTTAGGAACTTGGTGAGACCGAGAGCCTGTCCCAGGGATCTGGTGACTTCATTAAAGATGCACCAGCCTCCCCAGCTGGCACAGTGCCCAGCAAGTGAACGGATCCAAAGGAGTCTAGGGTGGGGGTGGGACAGAGCAGGCTTCTGCCACCTCGGCCCCTTGCCGTGACCCACATTGGCCAAGAATAATAGCGACATCTCTCCCCACAGAGGCCTCCTTCCCAGGAGTACTTGAATTTGATCTCTTGGAATGGCTCCAGAAAAGTCATCTTCCTTTCACAAAGTCCATTTCCAAAGTCCTTGTCCCCCGGACCCACATTGGCACCCCGGTGACTATAGCCATAGCTGCTGCCCTCAGCAGGGCCCTGCCCTCTGTCCCCACTTAGCCTCTGTGAATTGGAGTGGGAAGGTCCCAAGTCCCCCAGTCAGTGCCCTGGGCTTACATTTCACTGCTTTGTCTGGGCTGGAAACTGACTCCTCTCCCCAGGGATGCACGTGCCTGCCTCCCTGTTTCCTGGCAACAGGTTCCAAAGAGCTGGAGCCCCTGAATTATTGCTGAGCTCCTCTGGTCGGCCTGGAAGGCACCAGGCCCAGGTGAGCGGGAAAGGGCTTCTCGGCCCTCTCCCTACTCTGAGCACACACACCTAGACTGTATCTCTCTGCCTTTGTTGCCAGCCCACGCAGGGCAGGCCGGGGCTCAGATATGGGAGGCCCTCCTGTGAGCACCTCTTCTTGTGGAAGGAGCTGATCGCTCTTAAGTCCGACACTGCCTGAGCACTGTGATCTCTGGGGAGGAACACCCCTTCCAGTCTCCCATGTGGATTTGACTGGAGGGCGGGGTGGGGGTGGGGGTAAGGAATGGACACCAGAGGGAATAACTGAGGAGCAGTGGGAGGGGCAAGGATTTGTCAGGGAATGGAGGTATCTCAGGAAGCCTTATGGGGACCGGAGTTCCAAACTTATTCAATTTATTCACATCACAGGTATTTTTCAGTGCCTCCCGGAGATATTTCAAACATGCCTATCTGCCCTAACCGGTTTGGCTCAGTGGATAGAGCCTCGGCCTGCGGACTGAAAGGTCCCAGGTTCGATTCCGGCCAAGGGCATGTACCTTGGTTGCGGGCACATCCCCGGTGCGGGAGTGTGTGCAGGAGGCAGCTGATCGATGTTTCTCTCTCATCGATATTTCTGACTCTCTGTCCCTCTCCTTTCCTCTCTGTGACAAATTAATAAAATATATTTTTAAAAACACACACACAAAAAAACATGCCCATCCTCCACCGCAGAGTCTAAGATGTGGGAACCAGGGAGGAGAGCCGGGGCCAAAGGATAGCGCCGAGAGGTGGTGCAGAGCCGGGTAGGCCGGGCAGCGGGACGCCCAGGAACCCCCAAGGGCATGCACCACCCCACCCCTCTCCAGCGGCACCCGCAGGCCTCCTGCGCCCTCTGGTTGGGACACTCCGTTGGGCTCT